AATTTATCATAAAATAGCAACGCTTGACACTTTGAAAAAAGTAAAAGCATCCCTAAATGCAATGACTTATCCATAGGGATACATCATTAATTCATTTTTTATAAATTCTAATGTTGCTTTTTAAGATGTCAATATTGAATATTTCATTTCATTGAGCAACGTTATTATATGTCTGAATTTTTGAGATTACTGAAAACAATTGTAGTCATTAATTGTTCAGTAATTGATATGCTTTTATTTACAGATTTTAAGGCGGTATAATATTAAACTGTTGCAAATATAGTCGCCGGTTTCTACCGGCGACTAATAACCGGTTATATTTAAACATGACTTTTATTTGTATAACAATAATCGTTATCGTGCTGGTTTTAATAATACACCCGTCTTTATAGAGCAAGCTAGCAAAAAAAAATAATTCAGCTTATTATTGATCGACTTGGCTCAAGTTTAATAAAACTTTAAACAAACACATGTATAAACAGGCTTTTACAAACTTTATTCTGCAGTCTTTTAAATAGATTTGAAATACCGGTATTCATAATCATAATATTATGTACAGAATGTCTTGCGTGCGGATGTCACAGTAAAAATAACTAATATTGACAGATAATTGTAAAAACATCGTATCTCAAGAGCTTTTTGTGTAAAGATAGTTGTGTTTTCTATAAAATGTACTGAGGTACGTCGTTTCTAAAAATATACAAGTCGGGACTTGAATGACTACAAGTTCGATACAGTATATATACACCTTGTGGACAGTTGATAGTGCGCGTTATATCGACCTTCGTATATTATATCTGTATATTGGATAAGCTTGCAGGTAAGTGACTTTAGATCAAAGTTTAATCATAGTATACGTAATATAGCGGAATTAAACTTATAATTAATAAATGTTCTTTAATTGATAAATATGCACAGTTGCACAATAACATACATGTACTAATATAAAAGTATATAATACCTATGGTTATTTCTATACATGTATTTTCATAGATACCTGGGTCAAACAAAGTAATCTATTAAAAGAACAAAAATTATATAAAGAAATGTAAATTCGTTCGCAGTAAATATTTGTTAAACGCGTTCCAATATAATATAATATAAGAGACCTTGTAATAAGTCACAAAATTATAATGGCTATTGGAAAAAAATATTGATCTATTTAACTATGCAACAAATCGATCACCTTGTTAATTCTTTATTGACATTCAGTATGCCGAAAAGAAAAGCCTCGTTTGCATTTCCATACGAACGCCCAAGTAAGATTACAAAGCGGACAAGCAACACAACTGTGTCCAGGACATTAAGCAGTATCTCAAAGACGCCGTCTGTTGTTAAACCACCACTTAAAATGCCCAAATTTCCATCGCTTCGAGCAAGCAAGCCTGGAGAGGTTATTCAGGTTGGTATGATATATCTGGCTACGATTGTTGATTTATTGTCATTTCCGTTTCTTTCTTAAACAGTTTAGATATATTTTCAATAAAAGGAAATAAAGATTTATATTAAGCTTTATTCGATTTCCATGTGGTTTTAAATTTTATTTTATACTTTTTAATGTGTTTTTATTAAAATTGCTGGTCTGTTAATTTGTCAGGTGTCAGCAGCAGCTCCTTTACCAACTGCTGGCGGATCTCCAACACCACCAGCCCTACGACGTGCCTCAACACTGACTCTAGATGATTATGACAAAGTTGACTCTGCTAAAGCTTCATTTACTAAAAGAAAGTCGTCTACTTGTAAACCATCATCACTTTCTAAGAAATCTAGCAGTTTTGTTGAGGAGGGTGCACTTGTAACAAAATTATCAGGTCTTAAATCTGGGTCAATCGTTGGAGAAACATCTTTAGCGTCAACGCCATCATTAACAAAATCTCCCAGCAAGTCTAAATCATTGTCAAGGAAATCATCCAGCATAACTGGGAGTTCATCTGGAGTGCCGTCGTTACCTAGTGGTTTAACTAAACTTGCATTACCAAAAGAAACCACCAAGAGTGGAAGTCTTCGTATTTCAAAGTCGACCCTTGTTGACGATATTGACGAGATAGAGATGATCTCAGCTCTTGATAGTTTGAAGTCCACACTTTCTAAAGAGGGATCAAAGAAACGTTCAATGTCAAAGTCTGCATCCGTTAGATCATCAAGACCAAGTTCTCCCGTAAAGAAAGCTTCAGTTAACAATGATGAAGAACCTATGGACCTATCAACAGCATCTTCGTCTAGTGATCAAGGGCCAGCAGCCGGGCCACCGTCGGATGGATTAATGGAAGTTGCAATATCATTTGACACCACTGGATCCATGTATGGTTGTCTTGAGGAAGTCAAAGCTAAAGTGCAAGATCTTGTTCAACGTTTACAGACAGACATTCCTGGTAAGCATCTGAAGCTCAGAATTTAATTAATTCATTCATTTATTCATTAATAATTAATCAGCTCTTAAGTAAGCTTTCAAAATGACATACCAGTCTGCTTCAATTTGGTATTCATTATTTCAAGCTGTGTAAATAAGTACTCTAGTACCCTGTTCAGAAAATAATTTTAATAGCTGAAATGTCAGTTTTAAATATAGATATTCATATCCTTTTTGTAGGAATTCGTGTTGCCATCATCGCACACGGTGATTACTGCGATGAATCTAACTACATTATAAAATGGATAGATTTTGGCGCCAGTTTACCAGAAATTTGCGACTTTGTTAAGAATGTTGGTCCCACCCTTGGAGGAGACGGCCCAGAATGTTACGAACTTGTTCTGCAAAGGTCACGTGAGGTTTTGTCATGGACAGAGGGTAGCAAACGCATTCTCGTCATGATTAGTGATGACATTCCTCATGAGCCTGGATATACTTATGGCGGGAAAACCTACTTTATTAATTGGAGGGACGAGTGTGCAGCCTTGAAGGAAATGGTTAGTTTTCATCGCGTTTTTTATGCCCCCGCCCGACTGCGCCAATATTTGGTTGTTTTCCGTGTTCCGTTTTTTTTCGTACCCTTTGGGTCTTTTATTTCGTCTTATCCTTCCTCCTTCCGAGTCATTCTGTTTTTTTCAAGATGACCTTTAACGTTCATTATATTTTTAAGAACGAGTTGCACACATTCAACTCAGATTTTGAACATACATGATGCATATTATAGACTAAATTTAAGGAACCAAGATCATTTTGGTACTGTTAGATGATTCTTGAAGAGTATATTTCCCCCTTTATTTATGTGTTAAAAACATAGAAACATTTTTAAAGGGGTTTTCCTTCATTAGCTTCTGACAACATAACAAACAATCAACTCGAAACTTGTACACATGGTTTATAGTTAATGACAAATACAGCTCAATTGTTTTCGAGAATTTTTGTCCCCTTAGTTTCGGGGATTTTTGCGCAGAGTTATGCCCCTTTTATTTGAAAATAATAGAAATTTTCCAGTTTCCGTTCATTATCTCCCAACGGTACAAACATTCAACTCAAACTTGACATATGGGAATATTTGTCATTTGAGAAAATACAGGTCAAGGTTCGAAATTTGGTCATGGTTCGAGATTTTTGGCAGAGTTATGCCCCCTTTTACTTTTGAAAATAATATGAAATTTTTTCAGTTTTTCCGTTCATTATCTCCCAACGGTTACAACACATTCAACTTCAAACTTGACTATATGGATGCTCAAAAGAATGCGCAGGGTCAATAATCAAATTTGGTCAGGGGTTCCAATGATTTTTGGCAGAGTTAATGCCCCCATTTCACTTTGAAAGTAATATGAAATTTTCAGTTTCCGTTTATTATCTCCCAAACAGTACAACACATTAACTCAAATTTGACATATGGATATGTTTTTGGAATGCCCAGGCCAAGTTGGAATTTGGTCATGGTTCAATGATTTTTTGGCAGAGTATGCCCCTTTCACTTTGAAAATAAATAATGAAATTTACAGTTTCTGTTCATAATCTACCCAACAGTGTTACATATTCAACTGGGCAAGGTCAAGTTGGAATTTGGTCATGGTTTTTGATGATTTTTTTGCAGAGTTATGTCCTTTTCACTTTGAAAATAATATAGATACATCTAAGAAGAAATAAGCAGTTTAAGTTTGAATTTGGTTGTGGTTCAATGATTTTAGACAAAACTTATCTATTTCCTGAATGTTGGAAAATTTTGAACTTTCAGTTTCAGCACTCATACTTTTAGCCATTATTTTGGCTACAAATATGCAATATGCTATTTTTAAAAGGTTAAGACTGAATAATTTCAGTGCCTTGAACATTGTATGAAAATGGTTTGTGTTAGCATTGAAAAGTTTTAAGGGCTTTGAACTTAAAATGAAAAAAATAATTAATGCACCATCTGAAATTTTGGCTGCATGCGGGGGCATCCGTGGCATGATGACACATTTCTAGTTTAGATTTGTTGTTTTTAGATAATTTCATACTTTCTTATATCCATGAAAACAGACTGGACCAAACTGACTTGGCGGTTTTTACGTGTTTGTTTTTGTTTTCTGTACTGTGGAGGATCTTTTTATTTTTGAATGCTGTATCACTATCCTTCTTTTTTCCCTTGTTTTAATGCATAGATAGATGACTTTATTTCAAGATGATCCTACTAACTAGTTACCTTATATTTTCAATGATATGAGTTGAAGCACATATCCATATTTCAGTATTTTGTTAATATTACATGCATAACAAGCAAATATATTTATAGACTTAAATTAATGAAACCAAAAAAATGATCATTGCTTGAACTGTTAAGATGAATCCTTGAACAGTAATTGCCTTTTATTTATACGTGTTAACACCCAACAGAAACGGATTTTTAAGGGAAATGGGTTCGCCTTAATTTGAGCTTTACATGTATATGACATAAAAAACGAATACACTGGCGGAACACGTGGTACACATGTGTTTGATAGTTGAATACTACAAACTCTACCTTTTGAGCTCTATTTGTTTGTTAACGATGACTATTTTTTGTACCACTTCTATTTAGGGCGTGAAGATTTATGGTGTGCAAGCAGGGGGAAGTCCAGCTGCCACATCATTTAATGAAGAGATGGCAAAACTAACTGGAGGAAATCGCTTAAGTTTAAAGAATTTTGGCTGCATATTTGATGTTCTGATGATGATCTGTTACCGTGAGGGAAATCCTGCAATGCTTGCGGTGAGAAGATATTGTTTGTCATTCGCAACTTTTCGGCCCTTTCCGTCAGTCTTCGGATAAGGATAATAGCCGATGATGTTACGATTGTATTGTTTGTCTCAATGTAAAGAATTGTACATTTTCGACATTAATTTTGTCTATGATATGACATTGATTTAAATATGTTATCAAAATGATATGAAAATATATTTAAAATTCATAATTCTACTATAATAAAGCAAATGTTGTCTTCTTTATCAAATAGGTTTATGAACAGGAAATAATTGACCGAGGAGACATTGCCACGTCTGTAACAGGTCCCATGGCCCCATCCTTTATAGCGCCAACACCAGGACTGCCACCATGGTTTGGTAAGGTAACTAAAGGTAAACTACCGAAAGGGGGCATTTTTGGCACACCTGTAACAGGTCTCATACCCCCACCCTTTATAGCGCCAATACCAGCACAGCCACCATGGTTTGGTAAAGGTAAACTACCAAAAGGGAGCAAGGTCATAGCTGAGAAAAAGACAAAGAAACAGACGAAAAAGTCATCTAAATCAGTCACAATTCAGAAGGTATTCCTTTTTTCCCTAGCGGTACTATTCACTATCCAATCAAATTTTGTTTGATATGAATTGAGTCATTCACATAGGGTTGCTTTGAATTGAAAAAAATCTCTTCTCAGAACTTAAATGTTTTTCCAAACAAATAAATACCTAGAAGAAAAAGATTTTCAGATGATGTACCGATATGTTAGAAATAAAAATACATGTGATATAGTAGGTACACGTAATTAGTCATAATTTTGATATAAGATACCATGATATATTCTTATTTCAGAGAGAAAAGCTCCCAGACACCTGCATGACTAAGGGTGCTTTGAAAACCATAACTTGGTCCAAGTGGATTAATGGTGTAGAACCCAAGATGCCAACGAACAAGCAGAAATCGAACTTTATGAAGCTTCGAACAAATCAAGGATATGGACCGAAAACAATATTTGATAATGATTTTGAGAAACCAGCCATTTATGAAGTCGCTGTACAGTTACCATGGTCACGCAAAAAATACGTTGTTTATTTCCACATGACAAGAAGAGGGTTCGCTATGAGTGGTCATTGGTCGACGAATTTGTTGCGACATAATAAAGTTAGACAAGAGATCAACAATGTCTTGAACCAAGGATGTTCCATTTACATTAGGCGAGGGCTTCCAACAGCAAAAAAAGTTGACAAGTTTGTAAGCCAAATGAAGGCAGCAAATGATTATATCAGAGATAACTTTGATTATGCATGGCAAAAATATATACGGCGGCGAAGTGAGGGCGGATTGTCAATGTTTGGACTAAAACATCGACATGTGAAATTTACACGGAAAGGAAAAGTTTTTATCCTTTCTGATAGTAGTATTTAAATGTTAAACCTACATGTTTAAATATGAAAAACAATATCATTACTATTACTTTGTAAATGTTTATTTTTAACTAACCGTCTGTGATAATACATTATTGTTACAATGCATTTATTTATTTATTTTAGATAAAGCACAAAGTACTTGACTAACTACAGAAGATGAGTTTGTTTTCATTTTTGTTGGTCCATTGTGTCGAGTGATACCATTTTATCAATTAGCAAGCTTTTATATATGATGAAAGATTTGTGTATAAACAGCAATAATTATTATAATAGTTCTTGGCCATTACACTCTGAACTGAAAGTTTTATTTTATCCTTTGTCGCAAGTATAGAGCCAGGCCATCGGTGCAAATTGACTAGGCTCTATACTGTTGGGTGACTTTTGTCACCTTGATTTTCCCAAAATTTATAATCGCCAATCAAAAACACGAAGCTATGGTAAAATACATGTAGTTAAAAGATACAACCGATGACATATATTAAAATTAAAATCAATCTTATTGGAGACCTCTTTACAGTGTAGAGAATAATTGCTGGCGGCATTCACTTTTGTATATAAAATTGAAGTGAATGAATATCATTCAAAATCTTAAATCATTAGAACCAGTCTTCAAAATACAACTTTATTGAAAAGAAAAAATAACATCGACGTGAACAAATCAGCAAAAGGAAAAAACCGGAGAGCTTATCTGGAAATTGACGGAAATAGCCGATATGCTGTTTTTGTGACCAATCAGAAATTCTTATTTTCCAGCCATTTGAACAATAAAGCTAGAAAAATACCTTTTGTGAAGCAAACTTGTTACATAACTAATGTGGATCTTGAGATTTTTTTTTATCTCTTTAAGCCCATTAAAGTTAATCCATTCATTACTGTTTGTAAAAAAATGGCTGTAAACATTGTATTTTCCTAGACCGGTAATTGACTTAGAAAGATAAACCCAAACATTTGGACATACATTTTTATGCACAGACCGTTTCCAAAATTACTTGTTTACATCTTCATGTTAACTTAATCAGGCCTTGTAGAAGTCGAATAGGACATACCTATGATTTACACATAATAAGGATTTGGTATTTATTTCCCTCATGAGCATATTGTGAAAAATGGCCGTTTTCATTGAAAATAATCCAAAAAATGTCTTTTCAAAGGCCAAATTGTCCTACAATGTATTGCAAAATAAATACTCAAAAAGACCTTTATTAGCTCGAGAAATGAAGGATAAACTTATGTTTATGCTTAATTGTATCTAAAGTATCTATAGGAATGCAGCTTTCCAGGAACACGTCCCAAACATTATCTAGCAACACATAGGAATGGGGTATCAAAGAGGTGCGGCATATGGGAGCAAAAACTTATTTATCAACTTTTTTTCAATGGGTCAGTTTCCTTCACTTTAGAACGCTGCTTATTATGTTTACAAAACAAGTTGAGAGAAAACCTCCAATTTTACTAAATCACCGGTTGGAGCTTAAAAATGACAATCAATAGCTTGAAAATAAAATATAGTTATATTGGCAAAAAAACATTTAAATCAAATTGAAATTGTAGCTATTTTGACAGTAAATCCCTTGTGGTTCTGTAATTATCCAATGAAACCGAATGTCCATTTTCATTAAAAAAATCGAAAGAAAAACATAAAGAATTGTAAAGAAGTTTAAATTAGGAAAGAAATCCGATAAAGACAGAAGAAAATATGAGAATTTTTAAAAGATATAAAGAAGTAAGAATCTATAGAATTGGGGCGAACTGCAGAATGACACATTCATACAGATGATGAACCTTTTTCAGATCAGGTCAAAACGTTTTAGACTTTTCAATATAAGTGTGAAAACAGCTTTGAATATACCTTCATTCTCTCCCCACTGATAAAGATGTGTTTCCTGAAAATAATGGTTTTTAGAAAACAATACAATAAGTATTTTTTTAAATTTAAACAAGGGAAGGGGGGATTTAATCATACTTTGCCTACAATGCAAAAAGAAGGAAGAGGCTTTTTTTGGGGTAATCCAAGGTACAAAGAGGTATGGGATTTATATTTTTGGAAAATTTGGCACCCGCAAAATTTAACTACAATTTTTACGAATACGGGGGGTTGAATAAATTGGGTTTTTTACGTTTTTTCCAAAAATGAAGGGATTGCGGTAAAGTTTTGTTTTTTTTAAACAAATTTTTTCTTAAAATTTTAAAATGTTGCGCATTCTTAAAAGATATAGGAAATTTTATTAAAGGCTCTAGTTTTTTGAAGAGGAAAATGATTTCCATGGGTACAGCGTTTTCTAGCTTTGGTGTTCTACGATCTCCACGGTTACGGAGGAGATATTTGTCGTTATCAACTAATGGCGGACATAAATCTTGAAAGATAAGATGGCGGTTAGGTTGGACTTCATTTTTGTAGAAAAGGAGTAGCTTATGTTTCTGTCGTCTGGACTCTAAAAGTGTCCCAACTAACTTCATCAAGAACCTTTTGCAAAAAGAGACTAGTTTAGTTGCACCTGTAACAATACGGGCAGCCTCATACTGGACATTTTCAAGTGCGGTTTTTTTTGCTCGAGTGGTACAACTGTCAAAAACTATATCGCCATATTCTAACTATTTGGCCCCGAATAAATGAAATGTAATATAGTTTGCAGCGATTGTCGCGTCAAAGAGTGAACTTAAGCTTCCCGCAAATTTATATTTTTCATGCTTTTTACTGATAAGCTTTTTTTTTTTCCACCACCAAAGAACATAATCAATATGAGTATTCCATTTTCAAAATTATTTGCCAAAATAAGAACCTAAATGTTTTCTGGCCTAGATACCTCCTGAATTTCAACATTGTTCATAAATACGCGAGGATTTGATTTTTGGGTTGTTTTGGTTTACGAGAAATGATTAGAGATTCTGTTTTTTTAGGGTTGAATTTCACTAGCCACTTTGAGTGGCCAAATCTTGATATTGTTTTGTAAGTCAGCGTTCAAAGTTTCGGCTGCACATTACTGGGATTTCGACTGTAATGTAAAAGACTGGTATCATCACACCGAACAGGCGTATCTTAGCTCGATCTAGAAAGACTTTTGTAAGGTGGGGAATCTCTATGAAAAAAATGGTTTGACAAAAGTGTCAGGTTCGTTTTTAAGGATAAAAAAATATGATAAACAAGATCAACAAGGAAAGGGGGCGTTCAGTGAACGCAACCCCCACGCGACCCAGCAACAAATTTTTAGAACCGGTGGCAAAGGAGCCCAGGAGGCCCTCAAACAAAAAACAGGGACAGGGCGCAAAAGCGGAGCATGGACAGCGTCAATCACTAATCATAAAATTACACATAAAAACAAATTATAATAAAGGACAAAGAAAACAAAGTAAAAAGATAAATGACTGCTTTTAACAGGCCCACAAAGTAAAGGGGCACAGGGGAAAGGCAAAACGCGAGGACCCGCGGGAAGGGGGGAGGATATAAACGTGCTTTCAGTTATGTTTCAAGATACTTCCTCTCTTCTTTAGCATTGTTGTTTAATTTACCATTTTCCTCTCAAAGTGTAAATAGAACTGTACACTTTTATAATCAAACACTGCATATTGTCAGTACAAAATCTTGGTTAAAGAAAAAAATTAAATTTAAAAAAAATATCTGTAAATTTTTGTTTGTTTATTCACAGAATATCTATGAACAAAACGAACGTAATGAAAAGGGTCATGCTCAGTCGGTGTACGGACTAAAATTATTAATAATTGATACACAGTAGACCTAGCTATAGTTAAAATAAATTAATATATTATCATATTTCTCCGGCTCCACATTTTAGTAGGTCTATTTTAATTTTGAAAGATTTTATTTATAGAAATTCGTAGACTACGCTCTTTACATCAACTTAGTATCGCCTTGCGCCCAACAACCGACTTTTCGCTCCATCTCTTGCCATGGCTCCACTACTTTCGAAAAAGCCCGATCACGGATTTATATTGTAATATAAATCCGTGGCCCGATATTCAAATTTAAGAAATCCATCAAGAGTAGTTTATTTTGCACGAAAGACTAGCTCTTGTTACGGGTTAATATTTTTCTAAAACACCTTTTTAAGAAATCCGAAGTGTAGAGCGTTTCCATGGTTGGAAGTTTGATATTTAACAAATCGTCGTTCACTTCGTCAGGGGAAAACAGTTCTCCCGGGCTTGATATAATTTTCTTTTTGTAACAGCTTAAGATCACTGAAAGCCTCAATCAATCCTACACGGAACTACATTGATCGATTTTTGAAACAATACAACTTAAATGAATTACAAGACAAAAACATAAACAAAACTTACAATTGTCCGTTTTAATCGGCCCTCCGCTCTATCTCGGAATTGCCGTTCGCTCGTTTTGCCGTACACCACAATTTTGAAGTGGAGCGACAGTTTGCCGGGCGTGTGATGAGATGTTCTTGACAAGGGAATCTGTGATTGCGATAAGCTGTATTTCACATTCATGGACGTTAATTTCTCTCTGAAACCATTTTGAAGGTCAATTAGATTACTGAAGTGTGATGATAAATGGAGAGCGACAACATATTCAAGGGTTATACATACAATGTATGTTGCAAGAAAATATAACGATAATTAACTTGATTTGTGTTGTTTCCGGTTCTTGTAAATATGAACAGGCTCAATTAAACCGAGCCTGCTGTCGTTTTGGACGTTCTTTAGAGAATCTTTATTTCTCTCTTATTTAACCACGGATTTATATATAAATCCTTGATTTAACATATGCATGGGGTTGTGTTCAGTCAGAGGGAATAGCATAGAAGATAATGACTTTTGAAATAAGATTTTGACAAAATAAGTCATTCCATGGGGCAACTTAATTGTCAAGTCAGGTCTTATAGGCTTTATAGATTTGTCAACCTTAAAATTCGGCAACGAGTTTAAGCACCTCATTCTTATTTACTATTTGAAAAAGGACATCAATAGTTTTTAATTAAAAGATAAGTCAAAACAGGTTTTAAATATAAACAGTAGCTAAATATACGGACAGTTTTCAGCAAATTTTACATGTATTTGTAGTGTTATGATTTTGGTTGTTTAGAATGTTTGCAAGAAACGAGCTTTTTGAAAACGAATTGGGCTTCTTTTTTTGGGCTGGGTATCATCTTTCCGATTCATCAAAAATAAGCTCAGTAGGCATAACAGTAAATTGATTTTAAATATCCAGTATAGTTAGTATAATTTGAAACCATAGAACGTATTTAGTTGTTGTCAACCTTGAAAACATTTAGTGATTAGTAACCTACTAAATCTTCACTGAAGAAAACCATGAAGAGTTATACAAACAAATCAGAATTTTTGTGTAGAAACAGTCTTTTGATTATTTTATTGCGATATACACCGTGGTAAATGCAGATGAGTTCAGCCTACATTTATAGAATATTGAAGCAACTCCTAGAAATACTTCGTTCGTGAATTTAAATTCATTCGTTTGAAAACAAAGAATCTATTTTTAGTAAAAGTCTTCCTTAATTCCACCATATCAAGTCTGCGCTAAAATACTCTCTAGAAATGGTTTGACAAAATAAAATCCGATATACATGTATTATGCAGTATCATTAACTTTCAAACCACATATTCCGTCTAACGTAATTGTATACGTGTCCACAAATTAGCGACTACAATTGAGTGACCATGGAATTCAGGGAAGTCCCCAAGAATAAATGACAAAAGAATGATTCATGCTTGAAATTTCAGATTGAAATGTATTAAAAAAAAAAAACTCTGATTGTTTCATAATGTTTACATTTTAGGATTTAAATGTCCTTTAAAATTGAACTGTGCAATGATTATCTCTGCACTTGAAAAGGTGTTATCTTTAAACTGGAGATGTCATTGAGATATTGAATGTGATAATATTTACTTTTGTTTCAACATTTATGGACATTTAAATCATGGCTACATCTATAGATCAATTTGAATACATCAGGAATATAGGAAAAGGCAGCTATGGAGAAGTTACTCTTGCCCGTCATAAGAGGGATAGAAAACAGGTGAATTTTCTGTAGTGTTTGTTTCTTCAGTTAATGTCAAATTCTCTTTGTGGACCAGGACATACACTTGAACATGTCATGAGACACCTTCCTAAGGGCAGGGTTTTGTTTGAGAAATGTTGCTTAAAAAAGTGATCACTTTTTCGGTGTTGCCCCCTATCCAGAAAAAATATATTACTTTCATTAGCGAGGTGCCAAAGGGGGATGTGCCCCCTTTTGTTTGGGGGTTTGAAGATGCCAGTAGCTCCCCACATCACCAAGAAAATTATGGACTTGTGAGAGGATAAAAATGACCTCAGGTCCATCATGACTGATTCATGAGGTAACGTGTAACAAACGCTGAAAAGCCCTTGACTCTATCTCAATCATTTGAGTAGTTGCAGAACATTGAAATCAATTTTTGTGGAAAAAATCAACACAAAATAGTGATTTTTGGCATTTTGAGATGTCCTCTCATTGCCATGGTAACCGGAAATTTAAGACTGAGCATGTCGGTGTAAAGGCAATGGTCCAGTCAACAATTGTACCAAGTTTGTTTAGTATTGAAGTAGTTTTCATAGTTTTATAGCAAATTGAACTTGTAACAGGAGAATTTTCAATGAAAACAGCCATTTTACACAAAATGCTCATGTGGTAAAGGGTTAAAAGAAAAATGTTATATTTTGTAATTTTAATTATGTATGTGCACTCGCCTCCTCATAAAGTACTATGGTTATTTTTCACCTTCAGTGACTTTACTGATCGCTTAACATTTTAGTTTTTTTTCTTTTCAGTATGTGTTGAAGAAAATAAATTTGAAAAAAGCGTCAGCGCGAGAGAGACGTTCTGCAGAGCAGGAAGCAAAGTTGCTTTCCAAATTAAAACATCCAAATATAGTGTCATATAAAGACTCATTTGAGAAAGAAGGGTTTCTATATATTGCTATGCAGTATTGTGAAGGGGGAGATTTATATAATAAATTAAAAGAGCAGAAAGGAACTTTACTAGAAGAAAGACAATTAGTGGAATGGTTTGTTCAAATAGCAATGGCATTACAGGTAAAAGATGTGTTCAATGTAGCTGCTTTTTGTGATAAAAAAAAGTTCAAATTTGTACTTATTTAAAAGTACTACATTATTCTTTTAGTGGTTCTCTGCCGCAAAGACTTTATACCAAATGAAAATTGAAATATTACTGAACTAACAATGCAAATGACTAGAATATATATATAATATAAAAGGTTATTGATAAATATATATATATGTAAGTTACAATAGTTGCATTCCTGCATGACAGCATATTAAACAGTTGTATTTAGTGCCCTTTCTCTGTCCCCTGTCCCCATTTATGAAAATAATTCATCCCCTCCCTTCCTTACCCAAACCAGCTACTAAATGGTCAAGGTAAAAAGAATCCAACAAAAATAAAAAAAATATGTAATAATGTAACATTCAAGATCAATGGATCTAGATATTAAAGACATATATTTTGCCCATTGTTGAAAAAAATCATTTGTTCAACATCATGTTACAATTCACTGAGTTTGCAGTGTTTGCTTGTTTCAGTATATGCATGAGAGGAATATATTACACAGAGATTTGAAAACTCAAAATATTTTTTTAACCAAGAGCAAAATAATCAAAGTTGGAGATCTTGGTATAGCCAGGTAAGTGTTGTTATTAACTCAAAGAAAATAAATGTAGTTATGTTTCTGGTTTAAGTTTTGTGTGCAAGAATGCCAAGATCAGTCTTCAATGTTGCTAAAGCTTAAAGCTTCACACATGAACCTACAGTCCTACTGGCAGCTCTAAGTAATTTTGCCAATCCAAGTCTGTTTTAGTCTTTATTGCCTTTAGATAATTATAATAGAAATTTGTATAAACTTTTACATAGCATTCTATAAACTTGTCAAGTTTTATATAGTCACAACAATTTAAAATTGATTAATGAATACCCGAAGTGAAAAAGTTATAAATTTGATTGAATCAGTTAGAGAGGACATTCAGGGTTTGGCTATTTGGTTTAATACTACTGGTTCGAGTCCTACTGGAGGACAGAGGCACAACAATGTACTCATTTGGCAACAGTACTGGTTACTTCTTAACAGTGGACTTTGTTTTAATAAGCTTCAATATGTAATAATGATCAAGCTGAAATATAACAAGACAGAATCTAACAAAATATTTCAAATATTTATTTCAGAGTTTTAGATAGTTCCTCTGACATGGCAACTACATTGATAGGCACACCATATTATATGAGTCCAGAACTGTTCTCTAATAAACCATATAATCATAAAGTAAGTACACAATAGTATAGACCTCTAGTTGTTTTTATTTATATCAAGGTTGTCAGTCTATGTCTGACCCAAGCTAGTAGTTTCAACATGTGTATTTTGAAGGTTGAATAATAGAAATCTGCTGGTCTTTTTCAAACACAGCTTGAATAAGTTTTTAATGGTTTGTATGATTAGTGTTTTGATTAAAAAAAAAATATATTTTGGTTTTAAAGGTGTTTACATGGTGCCAGGATGGCAAAATAAATATTATAATTTCTGAACATTTCACCACTTGGATATTCATGTATTGTCACCCAGATTAAAGGGTTTTCAAGGATATGGGGCCAACCAGCTGGCTCAATTACTAGCCCAGGATTATATACCGGTTTATTCATGATACAGAGATTTTTAAAGCAGTGAAAAGCTTCATACATCTTTGTTTCAAAGTAAAACATCATACATGATTTTTTTAGGAATAATTAATTATAGAGCATTGGGGATTTTATTATAACCTTTTATAAAAGTATTTTGATTATTCCCCAACTAATTTGGATACATGGTTATTTTCAGTCTGATGTATGGGCACTCGGATGTTGTGTATATGAAATGATGACTCTGAAGCATGCCTTTAATGCCAAAGACATGAACTCTTTGGTTTATAAAATATTACGAGGAAAGGTAAGACAAATATGGAACTCTAAAATTCTTTCATTACAAATATTAAATAAGATTTTTTTTGTGCTGTTCATTAACTTCTAAAGAATCTTTGTAATACATCAACAAACAGCTGGGCAGTTATTGTGTCATATCACCAATGAGAAGTGCATCACTGAAACATTTTTTTTTGCTCTGTGGTCTAGAAATAAAAGAGTTGTTCTTGTTAGATACTGTAACCCATTCCATCTGAAAATAAATCTTCCTTTGAAATCTTCCTCCCACCTTGAAGATTAACATTCCTGGTAAAGCTGAGTGTCCATCAAACAGAGTGACAAAAATAATGCCATGTGTTAGACATACATAACTTTGTTGCAGTTCCACTTTTCATGAAGTTAAAATTACAAGAATGATTTTTTTATTTCAATGCAGAGGTTAAGCCTCTGTAGGTACAAAAATAGTATGCCTAAAAGAAAACAACTGTTGTTCTTCTGTCTGAATGACACAAAACATGGTGTCTATCACATTTAGAATATATGGTAGTTTGCTTCAAATGTCTTATTAGTGTAAAATTACAGTTTTTGAACAGAATAATTTTGTGTTTCACAGAGTCATTTAAACAAAGTTTAAACGGAATTGATTTTTTGTAAAAATGATAATTAGATCTATTAGATGTATGTTTTTTTAATGGACATCCTATAAAAGCGTTTTTGTCAAATTAGCAACATTCATGCATTCATGTTAGATGTGTTACTTACAAAACTAAAGAAAAAGTCACATTCTTTAAAATTGTCATAATTCGTGGTCAGTTGCCATGGTAACAGGAATTTCTTTACTATTTTTTTGTAATTTTCAGATGCCACCTATGCCGAGACAGTACTCCCAGGATCTTGTGTCATTGTTACGTAGTATGTTACATCAGGATCCAGGAAAACGACCAACAGTCAACAGAATTCTCAGGGATCCTTATATCAAGAAAAATATTGCAATATTTCTTGAAGAAACCAAACAAAGGTTGTTTTTTTGTTAAGCATAAATTGTGTGTTATGTTACAATTCTGATCTTGTTGATGTTTTAACAAGTCTATCATATATGATAATCAGAACTACAGATGTGTATCTCTACAGAATTGCACGTTTTATTTCTGGTACTTTGTGATACATGCTATATACCATTAAGCTGTTCATGTTTAACTTATAGTGACTGGTGCTGCATTAAATGAAACAATAATTAAAATTTGAAATAAAATTTATCAAGATTTTTTGGCTGTGCAGGATAATCAAACTTGATTGATTTGATTTTTCAGTAATGTATGCACTCTGTATATGAAATTAAGATAGACTTTTACATATATCGCTCAGATGTTTATTTAATTAATGCTTATATTTTTCAGTCGTCGTCCAGTAAGTGGTTCAAGGTCACAGTTGAGTCGTCCTGGCTCCGCCCACTCAGTATCGTCAGTCTCCTCCTCATCATCATCGGTCCCTCCCTCTTCTCGGTCTCGTAGCTCAGCCTCATCTCAACAAGGCCTTGATGTCCCTGACAGTTCAAGGTCATCTTTAGATAGTGAAAGGTCACAGCCGGAGAGTTCAAGGTCAGTTGTTAGTGTATCAAGTGTGGATGTAGGTGCTGGGGAACCTGCTGTAGATAAACCAGTGCTCAATCACAGGTAAAAAAATATATGAGCCATGTCACGACAAAACCAACATAGTGCGTTTGCGACCAGCATGGATCCAGACCAGCCTGCGCATCCGGGATCAGGATCCATGCTGTTCGCTATCAGTTTTTCTACTTGAAATAGGGTTGGTAAGCAAACAGCATGGATATGATCAGACTGCGCAGGCTGGTCTGGTTTTATGCTGGTCGCAAATGCACTATGTTGGTTTTGTAGTGACACTGCTCATATAGTCTTTTTAACTTACTGACACAATCAATGTGTTATTGGCTGGTTCAGTTCATATGTACTTTTTATGAGACGATTTACATGTATAAAATCTATGACATGTTCTTGTGTGTACAATTGGCTGTCTGCTCTTGACAGAATATTGAATACAGGATACATGTACAGGGGGGACCTAAATGTGAATCAGGATTCTAATCTGTACCTGAGATCTGTGGTTCTAGACTCATTTCCTTCCCTCTTATATTTCTCTATGTTATATTTATCTTTGTTTAACAGGTCACATATTGCAAATGTACATATGACATATTCTTGGTGAGTAGCCACTGTGTACTTATTGTAAATGGCTCGATAGTTTTGTTTTTGCTAGATATTTGTCTTGGACTATAGTTCTTGCATAATAGTTAGGTTTCAAATATTACCCAATGGAACTTTCCAGTGTTTATAGTTTTATACAAATTAGCTAACTGGCTATCTGATTGGTACAATTGGATGTAACAAAGTCACTGGTTGACCTGGTTTACAGAAAAGAACACATGATGATTTTGTTTGTGGTACTGTTTGTGAACAACTGACCTAGCAATGAATAGAAAAGGCTAAGCTAAATTTTCCATTGCTTAAAACTGGAAAAGTCCATTGGATAGTGGCTATAAAATTAAAGCAATGGAAGCAATATTTCTTGAAGAATTGGATTTTTGATAGTCATTAAATGACAAAGTTACCATTTGATATAATATTTATTTTATTGGACAACAGAAAATATCTTTGTATTAACCCTTAACATGCTGAATTTCTTAAATGGACTTTTCCAATTTACATTTTGGAACAGTCCATTATCAATTTTAGGGGATATCAAGGTTGACCAGCCAACAGTATAGAGCCTGGTCAGACTGCAAGCAGCAAGGATATGCAGACTGGCCTAGCTCTATACTGATGGCAAAGACTTATCACTTTCCTCCTTCAGCAGGTTAAGGCAAAAATTGTTTGATGGTGACATTTAAATGCTATATTAGATGCATAGCTGCCTTACTCTTGTATAATTGGCTATTCTTATTATTAAATTGGTTAAAGAAGGAGCTTGTGGTCATTGGCAGTGAACGAGTACAAGACAGTTGAAGGATTTTATCCTGCTACTGTCTATATCATCAGCTTGATAAAGCCTTGCCGGATAAACTTATCTATCTCCAGTCATTACGTCATATGATGACGTCACATGTTTAGCAGTAAAATAAAACTACATATAGATGCTATTTTATCGAGGAAAAAGTAGAATGAAACCATTTAATTATTCTAAAAACATGATTAAAAGCAGGATAAATCAAATACATGGTTGATATCGGGATGGAGAAGGTTTATTCGGTTCGCTGCGATAGTGAATCTTGGCTTGCTAAAGCTCGCCAAGATGCACTTTCTAGCTCATGGGATAAACATTCTCCATCCCTACATCAACCATGTATTTCCTATATAGATCTGTAAAGGTCAAATGTTCATATACATGAGGTTGCTATGGTTAATGATCTTCCAGGCATCATAAATACTGAATAAATATCAAGGTTACACATATATATTATGTCTTACGTATATCTATGATATGAATGATGTAGGAGAATGCACCCAGACTTTCACCCATTACATAAAGATATAATGGTAGTAAATATGAAAGTTTTGTAATGGTCCATTGTTCATATGTGTTAACTATGCTCCTGTAATTTGAGCATCATCAATGTCATGGTTTACATATACTATGATCCTAAATTATATTTTATCTCAAGTATATTTGTCATTTATTCATATAGGAGAAAGCCCCCAGACCTTCATCCCATACATGAAGGTAAAATGGTGGTCGATCTGAAGGACGAGGAAGAAGGCTCTGATCAGGATACCATTAAACAGCAGGGTACTCTCAAAAACAGTGCCGGGAAAGAGAGTAGAGAAAATAAGGAAAATAAAGAAGTCAAACAGAAAAACGATGCCCCACCTCCAAAATCTGATAGACAAGTAAGTGTTCAGTGAGAGTTATTTACTCTTTTTGTTAGGAAAGCTGTACATTTTGTTACTTATTAAATTAAAGAAAAAATACAACAGCAACCAAAAACAGCCATTATGTTTACTTTTTCAACAAATTCTCAAACCTACCTTTTAAAAAGTATGTACATAATATATGAATAACTATAGATGAAAATTGCTACATATATGAACTAATATCTCTTAATAATGGATGACTCATGGTAAGTTTTTCATTCAACCATATGGATTATTGTTGTCAAGATATGTAAATAGAATGTTTGAAATCTTCAGCGAACACCCAGATCAGCTCGGTCAGCCAGAAGCCAGGTACCTGTGTGATACATTTATAATGAAAACATTCACATGTGCATCATTGTTCACAATTTGTTCGGATTTAATAATTTTTTGAGTGTTTGTGGCATTGATGATTATCCCATGTCTCCAGCATAGATCCAGACCAGCCTTCACATCTGTGCATTCTGACCAGACTCTATACTATGGACAGTTTTAATGTTGGCAACTGTACATTGTATATTGAATTTCATATAAGAGTATTATTCAAGTCACGTTGAATAAAGTCTTTGTTGACATTTCTTATCCATGTCTTTTTCTAAAACATAAATTCTTTCCTATGTTTATACTTGTATTATACTATGGCAATAGATGTGCCAGAAATAATTCATGTCAATAAATTTGCTTGAAATATCCATTGGCAATCAATTTGCCAGAAATATCCCATGGCAATTAGTTTGCCAGAAATGTCCCATATAAATAAATTTGCCAGAAATATTAAATGGCTATCAATTTGCCAGAAATATTGCCAGAAATGTCCCATATAAATAAATTTTGCCAGAAATATTAAACATAAATTCTTTCCTATGTTTATACTTGTATTATACTATGGCAATAGATGTGCCAGAAATAATTCATGTCAATCAATTTGCCAGAAATACACCATGGCAATTAATTTGCCAGAAATGTCCCATATAAATAAATTTGCCAGAAATATTAAATGGCAATCATTTTGCCAGAAATACATCATGGCAATTAATATGCCAGAAATGTCCCATGCCAGTGATTTATCAGATATATTGCATGGCAATAAGTAATTTGTCTTACAATTATTAAGGCATATCACAATTAAAAGCTATTAAAAGTAAAGTTAGGCAATTTCTCTAGTATGTTATATATTTTGAGAAGTCTGAAATTATTTGAAAATATGTTATAATCTAGGAGGGTTTATTTTATATCTGAAAGAATGTGTAAAAGTATTTCAGTACATCTTACTGTCAATGTAATCAAGAAATGAGCCTTGTCACGACAAAACCAATGTTATGCGTTTGCGACCAGCATGGATCCAGACCAGCCTGCGCATCCGCGCAGTCTGATCAGGATCCATGCTGTTCGCTATCAGTTTCTCTATTTGTAATAGGGTTTGTAAGCAAACAGCATGGATCCTGATCAGACTGCGCAGATGCGCAGGTTGGTCTGGATCCATGCTGGTAGCAAACACATTATGTTGGTTTTGTTGTGACGCAGCTCAAATATTTTTATATATTTCTATAAAAACAGTATAGGGTAATCAGTGTTACATACACTAATTAATCTAAACATTTTGTGAAGTAAATGATGCAGCTAACATTCTAATGTGTGGATTTGAGATGTTTTAACATTCACAATGTGTACTGTCTTTATTGGGATGGTGGTTACATAAGAAATATTGTGAATACTGTTCAATTTTAAAAACAGAATTTCAGCATTAATTGATTTATATGAAATTATTGAGATAAGGAAGTCTTGACATAAAAGTATTAACAATGTGCATAGTAAGATATTTTTCAAAGGGTTAAAATTTTAGGATTTTTTTTTTTTCATTTTTTTTTTTTTTTTCATAAAAATACAATCATTCACATTTTACATGCAACATGTGTAACTAGATATACAGTCCAACCCCGTTTATTCGAAGTGCCTGGGACTGAAAAATTACTTCGAATAATCGATGGGTTCGAATAATCGAAATCGGAATATTGTGGTAGACGAAAGCTACTCCACTTTGACCAATCATAGCAAAACTACCATTTACAACACACTGACTTCCTGCAATCAATTGAGAAAAATAAATATTAAAGAAAAGATGCGTAAAAATTATTTTATTGGCATTGAAGACATAAATACTTGCATTTTATTCTACATTACATGTATCGTTTCGTTTCATGCAAAGCATTGATAATAGCCGTGTTGTCACTACGGTATTTACAGCTAAACTCTGGTATTTTCAATTAGGGTAAAGACTCTCATGTAGCGTAACAATAAATAAAAAAAAATGTTTTGGATGTTTTGACAAATTCACATATACCGTATGTATGAACATAACCGCTGTCATCTTCAAGCAATAACAGTAACAACATCGGACACGGTGCATAGCTTTTCATTTTCGGTAATTAAAGTTGATAAAAGAACACACAAAGCGTAATTATCATGATTGTCTAATTACACGCATGACTGTTTTTTCACAAGTTGACGATCTGCGCCAATTAGTCTGGCTTCGAATAATAGGTGTGAAAATATTTCATAATTGTATAATTGGGGCCGAAATTTTACTTCGAAAAATAGGAGGTATTCGGATAATGCATTTCGAATAATACCTTCGAATTTATATTGATTTACATAGAGATAAAAACGGGACCGCCGATCTACTTTGGATAATGCCGGGTATTCGAATAAAGGGTTGTCCAATAACCGGGGTCGGACTGTAGAACATATCTATCTCAGTTAAATCTATATTCATTCACTTATTACAATATTAGAATATTTTTAAAATTTTACTTTTAGTGTGTCCTTTCACAGCACTTCTTATACCAGTAACTGTTTTGATGATGTTTGTTTATTAAACGTGTGTATGCACTCTACAATACATATTTTTGTCATCAGTCTAACTGTTATATAGTGCACTGTTGAATTATTTTATTTGAAAAAAAAAGATCATGATAGTTTGGGATAAAATTGGATTGTTTTATCTTATCAATATTTGATGTTGATTTTCAATTATTTCATTATAACAATATTTGTGGCATAAGTTATAATACCTTAAAAGTAATCAAGGAGAGGATGGAAAACAACACGTCAGGAACACCAGAGTGAGTTTAAGTGAATTTATTTATCTACCGGTTTCGGTCATATAATGACCTTCATCAGGATAATACAGAAATATTTTAAAATTTAGGCCCTGAAGTATACTAAATGTGTAAACTTAAAAGTCACGTGACAATACTATATTTGGTTATGTTCTGGAAATGTGCCAATAATTTTTTGGAATTTTGCCAATATGTTGTTAATAAATATAAAAAATGAAAATGTTGTTATTATAAGTCCTACTTAGTTTCACGAAAAATACCATAAATGGATCCAATAGAAATTATCTGTTCATTGGTTTGACTAAACTGTCCGAATTCATCTTCGCACAAGGTTTCAGAGCTGTTGTTCTTACTTGGATTTAATGGAGATATAGGTTCTGGTATTTGAAAGTTCATAGTTTCAATGTCCATGTTGATCTTCTGTGTTTTGTTGATGTTCTTAGTTTTTTTGTTCTGTTTCTTGTTGATTAGTTGTGGTGTTCCTCTATTGTTAATGATTCGAAATGTAGGCATCTTTTTTAGTATCCTATATTTGCTTTCAGTTGGTTTGGGTGTTGTTCTTGGTTTATCAATTTTGATATTTTCAAACTTTGTTTCATTGAATCCATGTACGTTTATGGAGTGTCTTTTACCTTAAAAGTAAGTGAAAACTAGGCTTATTATTTGAGTTAGTGGGATATCTAGTGCATTTTCAATTTGAAGGTCTATTATAACCTTTAGTAATGATTCCATGGCAACAAATGCTATGGTCATCTGTAATAATTGATTTAGAAAGATTTAATCCATGAATGTTTTAGCATAAAGTAATAGATAACATAGAAATTCAACAGTGCACTACAAGTTTTCTATCCTGATCTCATTATGCACACTGGTTTTCATTTCTAGCTTCCTCAACTATCATCATCACCCCCACGTGATCCGAACAGGCGGAAAAAGAAATCTATCCTCTCAAAACATGTAAGTTCGTCTTCAGAGTCGACCAATCACAGGTCCAGAAACAACGTTGCAAAAAGTCCATCAAGTGGCTCAAAGAAATCGTCAGCATTCATATTTGAAAACGTAAATCTTGGCACGATGTACTATCCCCCGAAAGTCATCCTATTTATATATCGTTGTAGCATTTTTATATGTTCTACGTTACTAGAAGTAGATTGCTTGAAACTAAGTAACCTGTGAATGCTGCATAGCTTTAGTAACTCACATTTTATTAATTTAAAGCTGGACTGTTTAGAATTAGATACTAGTATGATAAAAGATACAGGTTTTGTAAAACTTCTGATTATCAGAATAAAATCAAATCAGAATTTTAGGGCTATTCCATTCATTCCATTTGCTGGTGCAGGGAAAAAAATAATGTTCTTTCTATCCATTTAGTTGTTATCCCTAATGTTTTACATGTATGCAGGTACTAATTAAGATATTGTGTTAAATCAGTGTGATATAATTAATATCACTCACTGTGTATCACATATTAAAAAAAGTTTTTGTTTTATTTACATCATTCAGGAAGCATAATGTATGAATTCCAGATAAGGCATCTTTTTTAGGGAGACAAACTTTTCTCTTGAATTGATTTTAACTAAACTGTTGGGGAAGTTGATAGTTACTTATGAGGAACTACTATAATCTCACGTAAAGAACCAAAGATTTCTGATGAGGGTCATTGACATTCATATCTTATTAACCTTTGAACAAGGAACCCCAAGAAATAAACAGAAAAATCGTTTCTTTATATCTTGGCTATTTTTGGTATTTTTTAAGCTAATATTTATTATAAATGGATGTTGTAATTTTTTTCTTCATTAAAGTAGGTAGAAGTATATTTGAAAGTAAAAGAAGATTTTTACTGTGTAAATATACACACAAATTATTTTTCTATTATAAATGTCTTCAATCCCAGATACCAGAAATTTAAATCCTACCATAATTATTTACATGTATGTCCAAAGATATAATAAAAAATCTGCCCATGTGACTGAAACAAAATGCACATACTTTACCTTCTTTTTGTATTGAAGTTTAATCCCATTGCATTTATAAGATATCATAACTTGGGATTCAATCCCAAAGCACATTGGATAATATTAATATCATATTCATTGGTCAGTACAGTCATGATAATTTGGTTGAAGGCTTTTTATGTATGTACCTAAAGCTTCACCTTGCTGTTGGCAACTAAATCTTACCATGCAACCAGTGCAGACCAAGTGCAGACCAAGGTCAACCTTCTGATCATGGTCTGCACTGTTCAATATTCAGTTAGTATCTTCCCTGTGTAAAATGATGGATTCATGAATGGCTTTGTCATGATTGAATGATGGACAATTACATTTAAGATATTTTGCAGTATATGTGTTAATTCTCCACCATTTATTCAACAGTGTAATGAAATGGGGATGTTGAGACCACATCTGTGTTCACATAGGACACAATAGTTCTAGTGCCTTTCTATATTATTGCTATTAAACTGCACTGAACACAACACATCAACCCAAATCTATCCAGTATTCACATGACTTTTGCAAGACAAGAAAATAAAATTAATTAAAGCTTTTATAACTTATAAGATATTTAACCCCATAAACTGCTGGAATTTGTGTAATGGAATTGCCCAAGCTTTGATTTTGGATCAGTCCATTCAAAGTTTTAGGGATTTCAATATAAAAATTACAAGAAAAGAGCTACCAACAGTATAGAGTATAGCCAGTTTACATGTCCGTTCAGTCTGACCTGACTATATACTGATGGCAAAGTCTTATCACCTTTGGATCCAGCTGTTTAAGAGTTTAACATTTAGATTACTAATTTAAACTAACAGCTATGCATGTACAAGGGCATGTTCAGAATTAACAACAGTTATTTAATACTAATTAGAGGTTAGCTGGTGTATCTTACTTTACTTTTATAATGAAATAGTGAAATCAGTATCTTTCTGATACACTTGAAGAATAATCAGGATAAAATTAGTATCTCTTGTGGTGTATTGGGTTCATTAACCAAAGATGGGACAGTTTCTTCTCTTTTTTTATTATCTAATTTACACTTTAATTTTGAATGTTTTTCTCTACCTCTATTTTTAGACATGAATCTCTTATATTTTTATACATTAATGATTTTACGTAAAGATAATTTTCTCTGCAACTGAATCATTTTTATGATCATTCACTTTGAAAGTCAAAGCAGTGATGAGATATTGTTAACTGTTGTTAAAATTCTACTTATAAACTTAAGTCTGTTGGCGGTAACTGAATTTACCCATGGCACCAGTGCAGACCAAGATCTTCTGTCTCTCGCACCATCTAATCATGGTCTGCACTGTTCACTGTTAAGTCAATACATGTTTGAAATTTTCCCTAAAATGATGAAGGGTTTTTGGAGCCAGATTGAAAGATAAACATTTAAGAAATTAAGTATATAAGTAAGGGTCAAAATGGTTGAACTTTAATGTACAACAGAAGATAAATGTAAGTATTTGTAATTACCTATACGGTATTAGAAAGTATGTTATTGACATGCAGTATAATATAAGATATAGAAAAATTGGGGTTCGGTATTTAGGTTTTTTTGTGTGTTTTTTTTTCAATTTAAATTATTTTAGAAATAGATGATAATAACTTTGAAATTTTTAATAACATTTTATCATTTAGGGGTTTAGTAAGTGGTATTTTCTTTGTATTTAAAGTTTTATCTAACAAGGTAACTAATAATTGATTGTTAACCGTGAGTGATCTATCCCAACTGTTACTAACTTTTTTTATTAGATGGTTCTACATAAGTGCCAGGTAATCTGAATAAAATGTTATTTTAGTCTTCAGCCACTTTTGAAATTTGGAATTGGTCATTTGTCCATAAGTTGCATTGGTTTGGCCTAATAGTCAATACTTTAAAGAAAATAAAGAAAATTATGCAATCATACTTCAAGGTTTTGATATGCTGAATTGATGTACATGTAACAACATTTAGATAAATAAAGAAACCATTCTGGGAACATTTAATAAATAATTATCTCTTGCACAATGTTTATTAATTTTCAACATTTGGAGACATTTAAACCTCACTTTATCTAGGAGTTTGCTGTTTATTTTCTAAATCACATAATAATGTTATTTTTTCTTCTCTAAGAAAGACAAAAAGGGATTTAGACAATGAAACATTGAAGGTTGTTGAACTTTGTGCAATAGATAAATAAAGGTAAGGAATTTTGTTTATAACCTTGTATTTATGTCTTTTGCAGCCAAAGCCAGTAGATAACCCACGACCGTTACCTCCCCCGCCAAAGGTAGAAGGGGAGGGGCTACCTCAGCGACGGAATAATTACCAAGATGGAGGCGGGGAATCAAAATCTTCATCATCGTCAGGGTCAAAAGATGATAACATTTCACTTGGTGATGAAACACCTAGGGTATGTTGAAATTTGGTTAATTTTACTTCTTGTTTTGCCTAAAAATGCTTCATCTTAATTGTAGATTTCTGTTTGAAAAGTTTGGTAATACAGAATTTATTTTAGTTCGATTGTGTAGGAAGCTATAAGCTTATAGATACATTTCAAATCTGTTCCTGGAACCAACCAGAACTGAGCAATGAGTGCAAAGTTTCTTGCTCAAGGAAACAACACCTGGCCCTTGATGGGGAATGAACATTTATGCGGCTAGTGATCATTAGATAACTAGTCTGACATGTTAACCACTCGGCCATGCCCCCACAAAACTGTTTGAAGTTTTCATCATTTCTTGTTTATCAGTATGAATGAACTGTCGATTGTGCAAAATTTTCATTTGTTATCCAAATTATTGAATTTTTACTTTGTTTTTCACTATGTTTTAATGAAATAAAAAGAAAGAATAAAAGAATTGTTTTTGTGATTTCAGAGTTTACCAAACATGTCAGCAAGAGAGAAGAGACGACGGAATAACAATGCTCAGTGTATGTTTGTTTTTTTGCTTTTCTCTCTGTCAAAGATAAGCATATGAAAACATCTGCGGATGTTTTTAAATTTGAAATTTCACCATTACCATCAAAGTCAAAATATTGTTAGAATTATTAGATATCAAAAGGCACTTAAAAACGTCAAATACCAAGTCAATCTGACGTATTGAGTCTTTTTAGTTTCCATGCTACTAAGCCTTCAACAGTAATGTACATATATTCTTATTTTAGTAGATTTATGTCCTGTTTAATGAATTTTGAGCAAAATTATGAGAATTGATTAAAGAATGTTGAATATTTTTGTACAGCGATGATAAAATCTCATAAATGTTTGTATAATTTGGAGCGGATGTTATATAGTTATATCTAATGCTATTATAGTTATTAATATTTTATTTTACTCTAATTGACATTATGCCCATCCAGTGGCGTATAGTCAGTGAACAGGTGAAAGTCAAAATATTTTTAGTTATCAACTGTTGGTCAATCACCATTTTAATAGTCATCCTTTTGAAATCTGTGGTTATTTCAGCTGAAATTGACACTGAAAAAAATGCACATAATGTCACTTTAATTGTCAAGAATATAGATATGAAATATATGTTTGATGTTTATTTATTGTTGTTTCCACAGCCTGTGATAGACCTAATACTGCCAGGGTTCGCCTGGAAAGACCAGAAAGTGCCAAGTCAACTGTGATCACTGATAGAGAAAAGAAAAGGGTAGGACTTTAATATTTACCAGCTGAAATTGTATGAAAGATTTTAAAGGGGAGTGAACAGGTGGTCTTGTGGTTAAGGTGTCTGCCTGTCAACCCAAAGATCATGGCTTAAAGCCCTAATCGGGTCCTGACTATGTTTCTTTATATGACACCAGTACTGGTTGGTTCCAGGAAGCTCGAAAGTGATTAATATAAATTGCAAGAACTTGTTTCGTAATCGAGCTTAGTTAAATATGTTTAAACCAAAGATTTGTCCTGCTTTGAATTAGGATCTGACTATTATGAATGTGAGAAATTAAAATGACTATGTAAAGAAAATAATATAAAATTTAGCAGTGTGGAGCCTTGGTTGAGACTGTGCAGATGTTTAGACTTAACCTGGCTCCTTATGTGCGGCATAAGTGATAGGTCCATTTGAAAATCATGGGATTTCTTTATCAAAATTCCAAAATTAAGATACAAGTAGTACAGAGCCTGGTCAGACAGTACAGGTGTATATTTATTAGTGGCAAAGGATTATCATTTTCAATTTAAGCAAGTTAAAGGTTTATTATAGACATCTCCTTTAATGTACAAAAATATGGACACCGACTTGAATTATTTTCTTTACATCCTTTGGTGTTTGGATGATATCCAACCAGGTAATCAAACATTGATTTAAACATATTTATTTTAGCAGGGCTATAATGAAAGTTCAAAGATTATTAAAACATCCTTTGATTCCACTTCATGCATCTTTTCAGTAATAGTGTCACATCATGACCCTAGTAGGACTTAAACCCACAATTAGAATATGATAATATAAACATTTAAAGTGAAAAAAATGTGGGGGTCTTTAACTGTTTCAATATCAATATGACTTTAAACTGTGTATACATATTTCTTTTTTTGTGTTACATAACTATACTTGTTGTTTATGTTTATACAATTTGTTTACTGCAGTATGAACAACTATATTTGTTGTTTATGTTTATACATTTTGTTTACTGCAGTATGAACAACTATACTTGTTGTTTATGTTTATACAATTTGTTTACTGCAGTATGAGCAACTATACTTGTTATTTATGTTTATACAATTTGTTTACTGCAGTATGAACAACTATATTTGTTATTTATGTTTATACAATTTGTTTACTGCAGTATGAACAACTATATTTGTTGTTTATGTTTATACAATTTGTTTACTGCAGTATGAACAACTATACTTGTTGTTTATGTTTATACAATTTGTTTACTGCAGTATGAGCAACTATACTTGTTATTTATGTTTATACAATTTGTTTACTGCAGTATGAACAACTATATTTGTTATTATGTTTATACAATTTGTTTACTGCAGTATGAACAACTATATTTGTTGTTTATGCTTATACAATTTGTTTACTGCAGTATGAACAACTATACTTGTTGTTTATGTTTATACAAATTTGTTTACTGCAGTATGAACAACTATATTTGTTGTTTATGCTTATACAATTTGTTTACTGCAGTATGAACAACTATACTTGTTGTTTATGTTTATACAATTTGTTTACTGCAGTATGAGCAACTATACTTGTTATTTATGTTTATACAATTTGTTTACTGCAGTATGAACAACTATATTTGTTGTTTATGCTTATACAATTTGTTTACTGCAGTATGAACAACTATACTTGTTGTTTATTGTTTATGTTTATACAATTTGTTTACTGCAGTATGAACAACTATATTTGTTGTTTATGTTTATACAATTTGTTTACTGCAGTATGAACAACTATACTTGTTGTTTATGTTTATACAATTTGTTTACTGCAGTATGAACAACTATACTTGTTGTTTATGTTTATACAATTTGTTTACTGCAGTATGAACAACTATATTTGTTGTTTATGCTTATACAATTTGTTTACTGCAGTATGAACAACTATACTTGTTGTTTATGTTTATACAATTTGTTTACTGCAGTATGAACAACTATACTTGTTGTTTATGTTTATACAATTTGTTTACTGCAGTATGAACAACTATACTTGTTGTTTATGTTTATACAATTTGTTTACTGCAGTATGAACAACTATATTTGTTGTTTATGTTTATACAATTTGTTTACTGCAGTATGAACAACTATATTTGTTGTTTATGCTTATACAATTTGTTTACTGCAGTATGAACAACTATACTTGTTGTTTATGTTTATACAATTTGTTTACTGCAGTATGAACAACTATACTTGTTGTTTATGTTTATACAATTTGTTTACTGCAGTATGAACAACTATACTTGTTGTTTATGTTTATACAATTTGTTTACTGCAGTATGAACAACTATACTTGTTATTTATGTTTATACAATTTGTTTACTGCAGTATGAACAACTATACTTGTTGTTTATGTTTATACAATTTGTTTACTGCAGTATGAACAACGTATACTTGTTGTTTATGTTTATAAAATTTGTTTACTGCAGTATGAACAACTATATTTGTTGTTTATGTTTATACAATTTGTTTACTGCAGTATGAACAACTATACTTGTTGTTTATGTTTATAACAATTTGTTTACTGCAGTATGAACAACTATATTTGTTGTTTATGCTTATACAATTTGTTTACTGCAGTATGAACAACTATACTTGTTGTTTATGTTTATACAATTTGTTTACTGCAGTATGAACAACTATACTTGTTGTTTTATGTTTATACAATTTGTTTACTGCAGTATGAACAACTATACTTGTTGTTTATGTTTATACAATTTGTTTACTGCAGTATGAACAAACTATATTTGTTGTTTATGTTTATACAATTTGTTTACTGCAGTATGAACAACTATACTTGTTGTTTATGTTTATACAATTTGTTTACTGCAGTATGAACAACTATACTTGTTGTTTATGTTTATACAATTTGTTTACTGCAGTATGAACAACTATACTTGTTGTTTTAGCTTATACAATTTGTTTACTGCAGTATGAACAACTATACTTGTTGTTTATGTTTATACAATTTGTTTACTGCAGTATGAACAACTATACTTGTTGTTTATGTTTATACAATTTGTTTACTGCAGTATGAACAACTATATTTGTTGTTTATGCTTATACAATTTGTTTACTGCAGTATGAACAACTATACTTGTTATTTATGTTTATACAATTTGTTTACTGCAGTATGAACAACTATACTTGTTATTTATGTTTATACAATTTGTTTACTGCAGTATGAACAACTATATTTGTTGTTTATGTTTATACAATTTGTTTACTGCAGTATGAACAACTATATTTGTTGTTTATGTTTATACAATTTGTTTACTGCAGTATGAACAACTATACTTGTTGTTTATGTTTATACAATTTGTTTACTGCAGTATGAACAACTATACTTGTTGTTTATGTTTATACAATTTGTTTACTGCAGTATGAACAACTATACTTGTTATTTATGTTTATACAATTTGTTTACTGCAGTATGAACAACTATATTTGTTGTTTATGTTTATACAATTTGTTTACTGCAGTATGAACAACTATACTTGTTGTTAGCTCGACTATACGAAGTATATGGAGAGCTGTCCTACTCGCCCCGGCGTCAGCGTCCGCGTCCGCGTCCAGATTTTAGATTAAAGTTTTGGTGCAGTAAAATATTTTTCACTATAACTTTGTCATTTCTTAAGGTATCAACTTCAAACTTCAAATATATCTTCCTTATCATCAACCACATCATATGTGACAAGGTTCATAACTCTAGCACCAATAGTTTCAGATTTATCTCCCCTTGAACTTAGAATTTTCCTCAAAAAGTACTATTTCTTACTGTTTCTTCTTTATTTCTTAAGGGATCAACCTCATACTTCAAATGTATTTACGTTATCATCATCCCCATCTTATGTGACAAGGTTCATAACTCTAGCACCAATATTTTCAGATTTATCTCCCTTTGAACTTAGAATTTTCCATAAAAAATATTTTTTTTACTGTTATTTATTTATTTCTAAAGGGATCAACTTCATACTTCAAATATGTTTACGTTATCATCATCCACATCTTATGTGACAAGGTTCATAACTCTAGCACCAATATTACAAGAATTATCTCCCCATAAACTTAGATTTTTTTACTAGAAAAATGTTATTTTTTATTATAACTTATTTTTAAAGATATCTACCTCAAATTTCAAATACTTATTCCTTATCAACAATTACATTTTATGTGACATTGTTCATTACTCTTGATGCAATATTTACAGATTTATCTCTCTTTAAACTTAGGATTTTCTTTAAGAAATATAATAGCTTCTTTTCTTTTTAAGGTATCTACTTCAAACTTCAAATATATGTTTCTTATCATTACACAAATGTTGTGTGACAAGGTCCATAACTCTAGCATGACTATTTCTAGCATTATTCCCCTTGATCTTGGAATTTATGTTAACAAATATTATTTTTTTACTATAACTTAATACATAATTATACATAATTGATTTTTCTTTCATAGTTTTGTCCTCCTTACTGCGTCCAGTATTTCATTAGTCGAGCTTCGCTGTCTCCTGTGACAGCTCTTGTTTATGTTTATACAATTTGTTTACTGCAGTATGAACAACTATATTTGTTGTTTATGTTTATACAATTTGTTTACTGCAGTATGAACAACTATACTTGTTGTTTATGTTTATACAATTTGTTTACTGCAGTATGAGCAACTATACTTGTTATTTATGTTTATACAATTTGTTTACTGCAGTATGAACAACTATACTTGTTGTTTATGCTTATACAATTTGTTTACTGCAGTATGAACAACTATATTTGTTGTTTATGTTTATACAATTTGTTTACTGCAGTATGAACAACTATATTTGTTGTTTATGCTTATACAATTTGTTTACTGCAGTATGAACAACTATACTTGTTGTTTATGTTTATACATTTTGTTTACTGCAGTATGAACAACAGGCAGCTCCAGCGCGACACAGACAGCCATCTATTGTAGATGATGACAGCAGTTCCTCAGACGAAGATACTCTTAAAGCTGTTGATTCTCAACGACAACGTAATAAACAACAACATAGGTTAGTACAACCACTACTCCGACAATACTGTTTGACAATAGTTTTTGATATTTTGATAATTGTCTGACAAAAATCTTAAAATACTATTTGACAATACTTTTTATATAATTGAATGAAAAAATGTTTGACAACTGTCTGACAAATAACTGACAATACTGTCTGACAAAACTTTTTGATAACTTTCTGAAAATTATCTGGCAATAATGTTTGGCATTACTTCTCATAACTGGCATATATCTGACAACTGGCTGACAAAACTGTTTGATAACAGTCTAAAAATTATCTGACAATACTGGCTGACAATACTTTTTAATTGTCTTGCAATCTCTGACAACTATCTGACAATACTTTTTAATGAAAAAAAAAAAAAAATAAAAAAAAAATAAAAAACGGACGTTGCGTCATTTGTTATGTTATAAACGTCAATTTTTTCTGAAGAAGACTAAACGTCGAAAGCTTAAGAAAAGCGTTTGTTTTTATTGAACTGATTATAAATTAATACTTTTAAATAACAGTCTTAAAATTATCTAACAATACTGTCTGACAATACTTTTTAATTGTCTGACAAATATCTGACATCTGGCTGACAATACTGTTTGGTTACTCTCTGACAAAACTTTTTTATTATTGTCAAGCAAATATCTGACAATACTTATAAACCTGTGAATATAGATGAATCTTGATGAAAGGCTTAAAAAAAAACAAATCTTAGGTGATGGATGGTTTTAAAAACAGTTCAAACATAATTTCTTCAAAATTAATGTGAAAATGAAATGTTGGCCCTCGTGTTTTTGTCTTCGATAGGATGTTGCTCTGTTATTGAAAATATCTAAAATTCATAGATTCATGTTCATATTTCACTATCTATAGTTTGTATCATAGTTTTTGGACCTTTCAATTGAGAAAGTGTCAGAGTTAAATCGTATACATATACATGCACAGTGTGTTAACTGGTGTGCAGGTATTAGTTACTTGCACTCCAGAGCATACCCATTGATTGGCTCATTTTTGCTGGGTTTTACTTAATGTGATGACAGAGAAAGGGAAAGCGATAGAAATCATGTTCAGATGCTTGTTCATTAGTTACTTTTTTCTGGGGATTCATATTGTGGCAACAGGGAATGTGTTTTTATGTTTGACTAGGATACAAAAGAGAAAGAACATCAAAACTCTTGACAATCTGATTCATACTCGGGGCTACCCCCCTCGTACAAATCAGATAGCCTTGTGTTTCGATTACTAATTTACACTTACCTGGTACCAATAATGACATAACAGTGTTACTAGTATATAACTTTCCCATTTCATTTATTTCATATAAGCATAGCTATAAGTTAGTTTTATTACCGAACATTTTTCTATCACAATAACAGGGGTTTACATTTACTGCATAATGGTGATTCAACATCAAAACATAGAAAACACAGCAATAGGTATCTTTATGTGTGAAATATAATATCTGTCTTAACACAGCATAACTTCTTGCTTTACAAAATAAGCTTTAACCAGATTTGAAAAAGAAAAACTAAAACCGGAATAAAATGAAATAAGCTATAACCAGAATAATGAACATGTCTTTCTGTAAGCTTTAATATTGAAATTGTTGTACACTTCACAGAATGTAGTTAGTTTATATTTTAGGAATTTACATTATATACTTACATTATAATTTTCATTTCTAGATCTTATAGATTAAAGGGACTCCACTGAGGTTTTTTGACATGACAGGACTGGACATAATTTTTCAAGATTTATCATCTTTTTGATGTAGGTCTATACCAATAACATGTGTGCAAAATTTCAGATCATTCACTCACTATATTTTTCCAGAATAATAATTGTTGCTGTGAATAAAAAACTCAACGTTGAAAAGCTTTGGAATGCTTTTCATCGAATTTGGACTAAGACTAGCACAAAAATTTGATTTTCAATTAATTTCTAAGTAAATGTATTTCCTTATTGTATATGTAAGAAATTCAAATTTTATGTTTTTATGGCTTAAGACCTCAGTGGAGTTCCTTTAATTACCTTTTTTAAAAGACAATAACCTATTTAAGCAGTGATAAAAACAACTGATAATGTTTGATTCTATTTGTATGTAATTAACTTACTTAACAATAGTTAAGACAAGTGGGTGGGATGGTATTTTTCTTCTTACTGTAATGCACCAGTCAATTGAAATCCTACCCCTCATCCCCCAATCTCACCCTTCACCCCCACACTTGAATTGCAAGGGAATATCATGGACTTAGACTTTTAATTTACAAACCATAGGTAAAGGTCCCATTATCAGGTAGTAAATTCACTGCCATAAATGCCCTTGCACTGCAAGTTGGACATATTCCCAGCTAAAACATAATTGCCACATTGACCTGACTGTGCTGGGACAAATACAAATCAATACTGGGCTAATTTCTCCTGCTAATTATTCCCAGGCACTGATCTCAGGCATGGTATCTGGGGCTTGGTATCTGGGGCTTGGTATCTGGGGCTACAATTGACTGTTGCATAAAGTTGTTATATCTGCATTTGCTTACATTAAAATGTAATCAGAGTAAATATTTCACACATTATACTTATGTTTATGCTTCCCAAATTTATATTCTTCTACTCTTAAACCTTTCTGATTTTATCACTTTGCAACATATCTTATTTATTAATTATCAAGATATAAAAGATCAGAAGAGAAATCTGTCTTGAAAGGATAAATTCTTTTCAGCAATCTTCTAATCTTCCAAGTTTGCAGTCTTCAATTAATTGTGGTCCTTCTGATATAATTTAGATTGCCCATGGATTGATAGATGTAGGGGGCATATTTTTTTTGGTTTGTCTAGCTGTTATAAAACTTAAACCTTGATCCAAACAACCTCCGAACTTCAAGGGGCATGTACCTATATGAGTCCCACTGAGGTGTCAAAGGTCAAGGTCACCCCTGAGACACAGTCACAATGGCGTTCATTGTAATATTTTTTTTTTGATACATTTGTTACCAGTTTTATTTACATGTACATGTACTTTTTACTCATCAGTTTCTATGGAAACAACAGAAAAAGATTATAGACTGAGACTTGTCAGTGATCTTCCTGGCTAGCTTGCTAACTTGGTTGTCAGGGTTATAGGCACCCATGTTACTTCATTGTTATAGTGTTGAATTATTACTTTTGTGTTTTATTTTATGTATGTATATATATTTTACCTATATAATATTTCTTCAATTATTGTTCAAAAATATCAAGTACCTGCAAAAGTAGAGGAAGATTGTAGGGTAGTTCTGTTGTGTGATTTCAGGGAGAATAAGGAAGTCAATAATCTGATATCTGTGTTAGACAATACTCTACATATAGACAAAGATGATGAAGAGGAGGAGCTACAAGAGGTCAAGGTCGCAGAAGAAACACCAAGGCTACCAAAAAGCTCATCTATGCCAAGTATTATTGAGTTTGAATGCTTAACTAGTAACAGAATTCATCTAAAATCTTTTAAACTTTAAAGTTGATAATAACAGGAATATGTTTGATTGTTTTTTCTGGACTTTAACACCAATTTTAATGTTTAATGTTTTTTGTCTCATCTGAGTGGTGGATCCACCTAGACAGCTTTTCTGGATAACTTACAAGTTATAACCAAATTCTCTGTAAGTGACTGACTAGTAACCCCAAATTATTTCTGATTCAGCGGTGCGAGACAAATAAAAATTAGACTCGATGTCCAAGAACAATTGTCACTGATGAATCTATGCCCGCCCAAAAATTGAAACAGAGACTTTTGAATTACTAATGATCTCCCTGTTGAGCTAAGCATGCAGACTAACAGGCTTATGATACCAGTTTAGAGCCAGGCCAGCGGGAAATCATTTAGGCCTTACCACTTAGGGTTTGATCCTGTCGGGGACTTTTGTATCATGTGAGGAAGCTATCCAGCTAACTAATTTTTATTTTCATGGTTTTTTCTTTAACATTTCCTGCTTTTTCTAAAAAAAAGGGGGACCCTTTTCCCCCGAAAGTGGTTTTTAAACCAAACTTTAAAAGGTTTAAAAAATCAAATTTAAAAAAATTAAATATTGGGAAAAACATTTTAATTTTAAAAAATTTTCTGAATTGTTTTATGCTGTATTTTTGTTAATACATTTTGCCCCTGCTGAACCCGTTTTAAAGGCCCCAAAAAAAAATTTCACTGAGGTTTAAAAATCCCATTGATACCCGAATTATAAATTTTCATTTTAAATTTTTCCCCAACACCTGTTTTAACCCATTTGGGAGAACTGAAAGGGCCCCCTTCAAACAGTTTTACTAAAACCAAGTGGTACATCTGTTTAGGTTTATCATGATTCAATCTATTCAAATTTTGAAAATTTCCAAAAAAAATGATGAGGTGTATTGTGTTGCATATCAAACTGGTGTTTCCGTTAGCTTTACCCATGCTGGAAATTTTAACTGGCATGGGGGGTGCCAGATGAGTGCTTAGGATGACATAATTTTACCGTTATGAATGAAGTTGTAATTTCATTCGCTGTTGTAAGAAAATAGTTACGGGTGTAATGACATAAATTTCCAAGGAAAATTGTTTTATTAAGATAAAGAGTTTAGAATATGATGGAATATGGTAGAATATGCAAGAAAAATATCTGTCATGTTTGCAGTTTGAATTGGAAAATCTGTTCCCCGGGAACCCGCCCATGGGTGTGTCTCCTCTGGCCGGATATTCCGATCCGAACCTTAATATATTACAGATATTATTAGTCCAGATTGACAGATGGACATGTCCATTTAAGATTTTTAATGTTGTAAGGATTTAGAATTATAAAGTTACTGGTATTACTGTTTTTGAGTTCAATTTGAAAAAAAAAAAATTTTAAAAAAAGTTTTGAAAAAATTGGTTTTAATAATGTGGTTTTATAGAGATTTGGGCAATTAAGTTTGTTGCTTATTTTGACCAAGTTGGTTATGTTGAATGACAAATTTGTCCTCATTATTATAAATAAATTCAGTAAAAAATATATTTTTATGTGAAAATTTCAAGATTCTTTATTTTGTTATGTACAATTATGTATTATCATATATATTTTCAGGGACTGTATAAAGGGGTAGGAAAGGCCCGGTAGAAACCCAAACTTATAATTCTGGGTAGAATAGAAAAGGATGAATTTAGGTAAAAATTTCAACGCATTTTAATTTTCTTTTAAAAATTTTTTTTTTGGTTTTTTTTGGGGTTTTTTTTCAACCCACACAGAGGGTAATCGCGACCCTTTCCGCTTTTTCTGGTGAGGAAGACCTCAAGGGGCCCCTTTTTGTGCATTTTTTCAGGCACGAACGGGCAAAACCTGAGTTAGACCACCTGACCTTCTGTAAGCTAGCTGGATAGCTTCCTCACATGAAAGAATCCAAAGTCCCTGTCGGGATTCGAACCCACAGCGGTGAGGGGCAAGTGGTTTGAAGTCAACGACCTTAACCACTCGGCCACGGACGCCCCATTTACATAATGAGATCGAAGTTTAAACAGGAATCTTAAAAATAACTTGGGGACAAGATATATAAAAAGTTAAAAACAGTCTGTAAGCAAAGCTGATTAATTAAAAAATTTTACAAAAGATACCATACATCTGATTTTGTACATTCCTATCAATGTATAGGTATGTAGGTACATGTTTCCTGCTTAATAATTGAGTAACCTGTGTTAATAGAAAAGGCAGAAGAATTATTTTGGAAAAGGGAGAATATTTTATGTTTGTGAAAGCTAATTAGTTAACAACAAAGGTTGTCAGTTCTTTCTTATACTGCACCCACTTTGAAATAATAAATGCAGAATCAGTGACTTACAGGCCTATGATACTAGTTAAAAGCCAGGCCAGGCAGAAATCACATGCCCTTAGACCATTGTGGGTTAGATCCTGTCTGGGAAACGTTTTTTTTTGTGAGGAAGCTTACCAGCAAACTTACTAAACATCAGTGGTTTTACTCACATGCCTGGTTGTACAGATGTCGTAGTTGTTACCAAGAAAAATACAAGAAATCAGATGAAGTCCATTCTAAATGACTATAATAATTATCATGCATATTTAATGAAAATGCCATTTTATATAATCAGACCATTTTCATTCAGGTTTGTTGTCTTTATTTGCAGCCGAAGCTAGTGGCATTAATGGGGAAGGATAATTTTGACTTGTATGCTGGCAAGATTTGGCAGTTGAAGTTTTGTGAGGATATGGCTCGTATAGGGATACCATCCTAGCCACGAATTACATTTTCCTGATGATTAAGCTTCATAAAGAGACATATACATGGACAGATGGACATACACACAGACAGATGAACATACAGTTCAGTTACCCGGTTTTATAGCAACAGTATTACATAAAAAACTGTATTTAGATTAAGAGTTAGTCAAATGTATATTAGAACGATAAGTCATCTAATCCTTGCAAAGTTGAAACTTAATCTGCTTATTCATTGCTGCCCCACTAGTATTTAAGCTTGGTTTGCACTTCAGTGCAGTCTGTTCTAGGTTGATGAATGTCCAAAGGTTTGACATCCCTAAAATTTGGAATAAATGGCTGGTTCAGAATGGGTAGTTAACAATCTATTCCAGGAAAAGTAAATTCGGGGATAAGGACCCAAGGATTGGTAAATTTTCGAGTTCTATGTTTAGAATTACTGTTTTTGTTGTCAAATTCCATTGACAACAATCTTGGTTTCCCCAAACAAAGATTATGTGTATAAAAATGTATAATAGTTGAACAATGAGTTGTTCTTCATTGATAAGTTAGATATAGTTTACACAAATGTTCATATATTGTCTGTTTTATATAGAAAATCATGATGTTGATTTAAACCTAAGATACCTACATTTAAAGATAGGCATGTATATGTGTATGTATGTGTATATTATATGTACAAATTGTATGATAAAAATAACGTTATAGCTAAGTTATCTACATTAAGTGATAATAAATTTTACTATAAGGAAAACAGTCCTTACATTAATTAACTGTGATTTTCTAAAACTCGGATCTGATATATGTATATTGATGTTAATGTTGACAGATGTATGACCTGTGACCTGTGTGGTTGTGTTCGAATATGAGATGGGCATTGGCTTCTTGCACATTAAATACCTCCCATTGTTTGACAATAAGTATTCACCTTGTAATCACTTCACTGTATTTGTTTTTCTACACCCCACCCACTTTTTTTTATATCTTTTTTATCTTGTTACAATAAATATTGTACAGATTTTTTAACAGATTTCTTCTTCCATGCTCCTCCTCACCAATATTTGGTCACGTGTAGGTAATGTTGGCAAGCAAAGACATTGTCTCTTGTAGTTCTCTTGTAGTTATCTAAAGAAGACATGATAGTAGACTAAGTACTTATGTGTTAATAGAAAGTAGCTACCAGATCAATTACTGCTCAGATTAAACATGTAGTTAATGAGTTTACGGCCTTTCTTACAGTACAGCTGTAACTTTGAATGAAAAAGGTCTTTCATTTATAAAATTGTTGCATTTAACATATTGTTGTTTTTATAACAGCGGACTGTTAAACCTTCCTGTTGTCAAGAAAAGTCTTCTTCTTATTGATATAATGAATATTAAAATGATCAAGTGAACCTGAAATAATAACCTTTTTTTTGTTGAAATTTATTGACATAAGAACAAGAGTATTAAGAACTTTTGAATATTTTTTTGTTAAAATTTAGATTTGTAATGTTTGCTTATGAAAAGTTTCACTAAATTTTGTTTTAAACAGAAAAAGATGGCTACAAAATGTTATTTATTTTTAGATGAATTAACAATAGTTTCATGTCTAACACAGATTACATTTATATACTTATTTATTGAAAAATCTCCCTCCCCACCCTCCGTCCTCCAGTTATAAACATTTAACCAGAATTCATCATTCTATGTTCGTGATAATATATTATGTTTTGTTAGTGATGTTTTAAAATGTTTTATATATTGTTTAATTAATTATTATTCAATTTATTTTGAAGAAAAAAAAGATGTCTTTTTATAATGACATTGATATTGACATAATTATGAAGCTTAGTCTTGAGGAAAATGGTGATAAAAAAATTATTTCAGCCTTTTTTTTTGTTAATTGAAAATTTTGTTTTAATATCTGTTAGGAAAATATTGTTTACTAATTCATACTAATTAGAGTTATTCCCCCTTACATGAATTAATCACGGCTGTGACTAAAAAAAGGATTGGAGCACCACACTAAATACCGTATTCCGGTATATACCGGACAAGGCGCTTGAATGATAAAATGCTAAAATCTTGTCTTTTTAACCTAACGGATGAACTTTAACCCAAGCTTAGATTATTCTTTCAACAACGAATCAAAGTCGATAATACAAATGAAAATTAAAGTTCGGCGAAAAAAAAAGATATTTGTCTATTTTGTGATCATGATTTCTGCAAGCGTCTAGAGGTACTGCTCCAATCCTGTATTGAGCTAAATCCATTAAACACTTGCTAATCAGAATAGTTCTCTGATTTTCCCAGATTTCAATTTAGTAATTACAAACCAGTCTTAGATGCATGGATTTGATTGGTCAATTTAAAGATAGTACTATATTTAGAAAGACTGGGAAACTTGTATACTGTGGAATGTTCCATGTTTTATGTTCAGTGTATTTGTCTTATGAATTTTTATTTCATGAATATGTAACATTTCCAAGATTGGAAAGTCGTTGAAGTATTTGGTTTATGATACTGTGATCGTTTAAAAACATTCCATCTAATTAAATTTTTTTTTGAACAAGATTAACCAAATTTGAATTGTAATTTCTCTGTTTTTTCTTAAAAGAGATAAAGGTATAAGTTCGCAATCATATTTTGAAATTTTAATACATTAACAAACATACAAATTTCATTTGCAAAATAGTTACTTTGTTTTTATCTTCAGAAAGGACATAACTGACTCAAAGTTGCTCTTTTTTTGTAATTTTGTAATTGTATTTAATTCAATTCAATGTGTACATATGCATATGTAATTATATATTACAGTTAATAATGGCCTTTAAGAAAACTGGTTGTTCTATGCATATATTTTAAGTGTTGTAAAACATGTGAAGACTTGTGTTAAAGGTATAAAGCTGTAATTGGTGAATATACTATAACAAATTAAAAAACTTTACTTACATGATTATTTCCTATTCTTATCATAAGAATACCTTGATTTATTTTCATTTTTTAAAATTCGCTACTTCCAAATATTATTTTCGCCTTTTGCGGAATTGCCGAATTGCAATGAAATCATTGCTTATGGTAGTATCTGGGAATAGTTTGAACAGACAGTGTGTCTGTTATTGAACACACATGGAAAATAGAAAACAGAAATTATAATGTGTTTTCTAACAAGAAAGTCCACTGCTATTTTCATTAGTTTAGAAATGATATTTGAAATGTCGTACCCACTTTATCAGAAATATTCAAACATTAATATATGCCCTCATTTACGGTGTGGGTATATAGATTTGCTTGTGTCTGTCTGTCAAGCTATCAAGCTGTGTGTCAGTAGACTGACAAAACAGTGGAATATGGAAGATATCCCTGTCCTATGGACACATTTCTAGTTTCAGTTCATTACTTGGTATAATTTTTTATCAAAGTTAAGACAATTATTTGACAAATTATGAAGAAAATATAACTTTATACCCTTTAAAGAAACAGGAATTTAACCATATATTTACTATATATGAGACAGATCATAGGCAAAACTGTCTCAATGTTATTTAATTATTGATCAATATTTTAGTGTTTAAATTAGAGTAAAATAGTAGAAAAATTAACCAACATGTAGTTGTCAAGGTACATGGAAGTAGGTAGCTTCCACATTGTTGTTTCTGAGAAGATATGTCAAGAATATATACATGTATATGTATTTCAAGTAAACCTTGGCTAATAGATTGATATTTTTTTGTATGAAGTTAAAGTCCATATTTATTACAATGTATATGATAATGCATAATGTTTTATGTACAGTTATCGCTAACATATATTTATCACACAATTGAGTCAACCCTGCATATAGAGTTGATGTACATGTACGAGGGGTGATCGAGATGTTCATAAACTGATGTTATAAAATAATAAAGAATCTTTTTATACCAAAGTATTACATAAATTTATTAAGGTTTTTCTATTTTGCACATGTTGTATTAGTATTATATAAATACATTCAACAATAAAAAAGTTACAGCTAATGACAAAGCCTTTCTTTGACGTTAACCGTAGATGTCATAATTTTGAATATTTAGTTAGTGACAACACTATTGAAAATGCTGATAATATTCAAAAGGAAAATTTTCAGGAAATGACCTCCTAGGTAACATAGGGCAGCAAACATTTTCGCTAAGTTATACATTAAAGTATATTAAAACAAGACCAATTAATTAAAAAAAGTTTGCAAAATGCCTTATTTTTTTTACATGTTCCATGGTTGCTGATGCCTATTGCTATGGACACTGATTACGCAGCGAGTAATACAAAATTATAATGCTTTGCAAATGCATCTTTGTGAGGAAAGATTTATTAACATTTTTTTAACGTTTCACAGTAATACGGCAAATACGAAAACTATGAAGTTCATAAACTTTTCTGTCACCCCTTGTATATTTGTAGTAGTATATTTCAGGTAAGAATATTGTAAATTTGTGCCAAATTCATGTCATAAAACTGATTGTTCTGTCAGTATATTAATAGTGTGATGATGATATGCAAAAAATTAAACAATATGTGATTGTTTTTACATAAACTTTCAAACTGATTTTGTAAATCAGGCATTGTTGTATATTTATTGTCTTTAACTGGCTTTCGTTCTTCAGTACACATCAAATGTTATTTATTACTGGCAAGTGTTCTCTCAGTTACTGGCATACTTCTTTAAAAGGGCCCCACTGAGGTTTTTTGACAGGATTTTTCAAGATTAATGTTCCTTTGATAAGGGCTTAGACCAATAACTTGAGTGCAAAATTTCAAATAATTCACTCACTCAATTTTTCCAGAATGATTATTCAGATTGTGAAAAATATTTAAAAATTGAAAAGCGTTGCAACACGTGTCCACTCAAATTGAACTAAAATAGCTTAAAAAAAGGATTTTCAATTTTTTCTGAGTGTATTTCTTTATTATCTTTTGCACATCTTCCTGTTTTAAGTGCCCAAGTTGATCTATATAAGGGATTCAAATTTTATGTTTTTAGGTTTTTGTACCACAATGGAGT